CAGAAAATTGCCTCATTTCCACGCCTATCTTAAAAGGGTGCACCTAGAAAAACTAATTTTAAGTCTGCTTGTTCCTTCTCCTTACCCATGGTGCTGACCTCTGTTAATCTCCATGACACACGGCAAAGTGCCACCCTCTGTTCTACGATACCTTTCACCCATGGAGTCAATTCTGACCCTTCTTTTTGTCACGTAACTGGTGGAACTGATCATAAGGCCCTGTCCCCACCTGCCTCCTTGTGACACCAAAACTCTCCTCTCCCTGCTGCCTCCTTCTCTCCCTCACAGGCTGCTTCCACCTCCTTCTTAAACCTTCTCTGGCCATTCCAAGGATAGTCTCCAGTCAGCACTCTCTAACCCCAGTTATTAGCAGTACAACCAGATTTTTCACCCTCAATATAAGGCCTGGATTTTTACAACACCCAGATACAAGTATCTGTTTCATTTTTAATTCTTAAAACTCGACAATGACCATTGAGTAATATATTAGCCCCCTCTGTGGTCACACCTACTTCAGGTTAAAGGGTATTTCTTAACTTGTCTCTCCCCTCTTAGCCTCCCCCCCTCCCTTTTCTTTTTAATTGTTAACCCTTCTGAGATATTCTCTCTGGGACATCACGGACCAGAGGAAGGACAGTGCCTTGTGGCATTGGTGATTCAAGCAGGAAAGTCTTCCCTCACAGGGCCAAAGTGAAATGGCTCAGCCCTCCCTGACTCCCCTAGAGGAACTCAGCAGCTTCAACTGGGATTGATCCTCAAAAGGTGCCAAGGACTGGAGATGAAGCAGGGTTTATGTATGTCCTTGTTTCAGAAAAGAGAGTGGCTGCTGTTGGCCAAAGGGGAGCCCCTGAGCCTTGGACAGAGCCAGAGAGCCCCTGCCAGCACCTTTTATGTGATCATGCCATCGCCCTCCCTCACTCTACTGGTCAAGGCAGTGGCCACACGGGAACTGATGCTGCCCAGCGCCTTCCCCCTGCTACCTGAGTACCCACCTGATGACAGCCTAAAGACTATGGAGGCAAGTGGGGCCCAGATCTCACAGACCCATGGGGCAGAGAGAGGAGAATGGAGCTGAGAAAGGATGAGGGAGAGGAGTGAGCCGTGAGGGAATGGTTGGAGAACAGAGGGAGACATGGTTCCAAGGGGTGTGGTAGGTGGTCAGAGAAGAAAGCAAGGGTAGGAACTGAGGCCAGGTGGAAGGAAGTTAATGCTTAGATTAAGGCAGCAGGTGAGAAATGAAGTAAAAAGGAGACTAGAAGAGAAAATTTGGAGAGAAGTTTGTAGGGAGAGAAGGGTAATTGGTGTAGAGGAAGGAGTGGGGATTAGTGCCATCCCTGGAGGAGCATAAGACACGCACACACCCCTGAAATCTGACCAAAATGAGCACCAAGAGTAGCTGTAAAGGAGAAATGGGGAAACTGCCACAGAAGGACACCTGGATAGAGCGCAAGGGTGTGTGGAAGCAGAGGAGGAAGTCATAAGCCCAGGCAGTTCCAGCTCCAGGTCATGCACTTGATTCTTGTTTTGTTTCATTTCGTTCGTTTTTGCACTGGCTGGCTACCCTGCCCCCACCTCCCATCCCCACTCCCACCATGGAGAGGAGATTGTGAGGTTAGAAATGAGAGATGAGTGTATTAGTGGAAAAGGCGAAAGGAGAAGACACATGGAAGGCAGAGGAAGAAAAGGGGAAGGGTGAAAAAGATGACAAAGAAATATGAACTTTTGTGTGAGTTCTTGTACCTTTGTGTGTTGATTTGTGCATCTCTTGGTGCCTGTGTCAGTAAGTCTGTGCACCTCTGTGTGACAGACGGCATGTCCTTAAACGGGTCCATTTCTCTGCGTTACGTGTATGTGTGTATACCCGTGTTTGTGTGCCTTCATTCTGTTGAAGGAAAGGCAGCCAATGTCAGAGCCCAGAACAGGAAGGACTTCAAAATGAGTCTCAGCTGCAAAGGAGGGAACAGCTCTGAAGGCCCATCTCTTCCCCTCCTCCCTCCTCCTCGGGTCTGGATTCTGTATTTCCTCTGTCAGCCTTGCAGGCTGGGGTGGGAGGGGTGGCTCTGGGCAGGGAGAGCTGGAACCCCCTTGCTGCTGGATGGCTGTCTTACGTGCAGAAAGGACAGAGCCCGGGATTGTGCTCCCGGCTTGGCTGCCACGAGGATGCTGAGAGAGGTGGGCACGAGTGGCCAGGGCCCGCTCAGCGTCTCACTTCAGGGCCAGTGGCTCCTGGCACAGGATGTTGTGGCCGGAAAACCTGACTGCTCAGGAATGCTGCTCTCGAGTGTCCCTACTGTTATGCTCAAGCTCACCTCGCAGGCTAAGAACGCTGTGTACTCACTCCCCGTCCCAGCCTGCCCTGCAGACTGTGAGCGCCAGCAGCCTGCCTTGCACACGGCCTCCCTCAGCACCCACACCACATCAGTTGTAGCCCTCCCGGGCTCCTGGCCCCTCTCAGAACTCCGGGGCACACTCCTCATGGCCAGGGTGTCCAGTGCCCCTAACTACTCGGGGTTGCTCCTACTTCTGGGACCCTTGCCTCACACTTAACCTCACAAGCACTCAGACCTCAGGGACACCCATCTATTTCACAGGCTTCAGTGACACCCTCGGTCATTCATACCTCCTCCACGCCAGCCTCTTCACACTCGAGAGTCTCTGCCTATTTCTATGTATTTCTATGGCCCCAGTTTCCCTGGGTGAGGCTCTTCCTCTCTTTTCCTCAGAGCATACTGGACAGCCTGGAGCTGGAGCCCACCTACAACCCCTTGCAGGCCTGGAGCCACCTGTACTCACACCTGAGCAGCACCTTAGCCAGGCCTCAAGGGCGGCTCCAGTCAAGCTGGGAGAGCCGGACCCTGAGAAAGGTAACAGCTTCCGTCCATCTCTGCCCTTCCTTACTTCCCTCCTTCCCCTTTACACCCAGAGTCCAAGAGAGAGAGCCCTCCTGCTTGTAGCTCTGTATAAGCAGGTGGATGAGGTCAGGTCACCCTCAGGGAACTGGACCTCAGGAGACAAGGATGAGGTTTTCAGAGCTCATGGAAAACAAGCAAGAGTGAAATCCAAGACTCGTTACAAAGTCCCATTCCCCAATTCCCCACCTGAGGGAGTAGCCCTCCTCCCTGATGCCACCCATGGTGGAGGGGAGAACCAGGACGACAGGAGAGGAAGAAAGAGTGGCCTTTTGTCCTGTTGTTGTGTGCCATGGAGGTCGACTCAGAGCAATCCTATCGGACAGAGCAGAACTGCCCCATAGGGTTTCCTAGGCTATAATTGTTACAAAAGCAGATGCCCCCGTCTTTTCTCCTGCAGAGCCTCCAGTGGGTTCGAACCGCAACCTTTCGGTTAGCAGAGGGCTTAACCATTGTGCCACCAGTGCTCCTTGGCCTGTTGCCCTGGCCAAAAGAAATTACAAATCCTACCAAGTAGGGAGTCTGCTTTGGTATTTACCTATCTTAACTGTAGCGTTTATAACTCCTTAGTCATTGAACAGACCACTATCCCACTAAGCAAACTGGCTGCACTAGAGCTCCAAACACACCCCTCTTCTGGAAAGAAAAGTCAGAAGAGAAGGTGGGAGAAGAAATGCCCAGGGAAGGGAAATTCACATTTATTGAGTCCCAACCATTTGCAGGTCTGTGGTAAGTGCTTTCACACAAATTTTTCTCCTGTAATCCCCACAGCATCCCTGCAAGGTAAATCTATGCTCGTTTTACAGCTGAGGACAGTGAGGCTGACCCCGGGTAGTAAGCAGCTCTGAGTCTGGGCTCTAGTGACAAGGATCGGAGAAGAGTAATTGAGGGCAAAGAGTTGTTTCTATGAAATCCATATTCTCTGATGGTTGGGCTTCCTTTTGCTGCTACTAATCTTTTCCTAGTTTCTCAGTACCATTGCCTGTAAAAAAAACTCCCATTATGTCTTAGTTGAAATTAGAGAAAGATGATTCTAAACTAGTCAATTAAAGGCAGGACAAGGACCAGATGTGTTGAAGAGGAGCCCATCATAGTCAGACCCCCAGGCTAGCTGGCAGGCAGGCTGACAGCAGGGAGACTCAGCAGAGAGCTGGCACCATGGAGGCTGGAGCCAAGGAGACTCCAGTGTCACATCCCTGGGCCTTGAGGCTGTCACTCCAGGGATGGAACATGTGAAGGAGATAGGACAGGAGGCCCAGCAGGGAACGAGACAGGAGATCAGGAACTGTGGTCTTCAGACAAGCCTCTGGTTGTTCTTTTTGCAGGCTGGGCAACTGCAGGCCAACCGAGTTCGAGCCACAGTGGCCCCCCTGCCAATGACTCCAGCCCCAGGCAGAGCCAAGATGCCAGCAACCCAGAAAGCTTCCTGGGAAGCCTTCTTGCTGCCTTCCAATGAGGAAGAGGAGGAGGAGTATCCCTGAGGACCCTAAGTGGCCAGTGCCAGAGCCCAGGTGCCCTGCTCAACCACATCCATGCTAAGGCTCACACAGTGGCTGTCTGTGGTCAGACCTACCGTCTGTCCACCTGAGCCTCCTCATGCCACCAGGAAGAGATACACCCAAGCCTTTTCCTTCTGCAAGCAGGGGCTCTAGTTTTCTTTTGGATCATGTGATACTGTTAACAAAGATGGAGATTAAACTCGTTAAGACTTCACCATTGTCAGGAGCATTCCCAACCCAGAATTTCTCCTGGTAGCTGTGCAGGCGGGTAGATGAGGTAAGGTCATCCTCAGGATACTGGGCCTCAGCAGACAAGGATGAGGTTTTCAGAGCTCATGAAAAACAAGCGGGAGTGAAAGCCAAGCCTCATTCCAAAGCCAGTGCCCCTCCCACCACACCCAGCACACTGCAGTTCTCTTCAGCTTCCAGACAGATGAGTGGTTGATGGGGTACCTATATGCAAAGTGGGGGTGTGGGATCAGGGGAGAGGACGGTGTGGAAAGGGCCTACTCCCTCTCCCCTCACCTGCCCACCTTCCTGTCAGCGCCACCCCCCTTACCCCCCCCCCCCACTCCACAGACCAACTCCCATTTATAAAACTCTTACTCTGGACTTCAAATTACACAAAGTACTTTAGAAAATTACCTCATTTCATACAAATCATCCTGTGAGGCAGGGCCCATTGTTAATTTTTCCATTTTACAGAGGGGCAGCAGGGGTAGAAACTGAGGGTTGAAAATGCTTTGTCACTTGCCAGGACTCACAAAGCTAGATTCCCACCCAGCTCTGCCAGACTTGACTACCAGGCGCTCGCTTTACAGCCTCCCTGCACCCCTCACTGGGCCCCCTTCTCCTCCCATGGCCTCCAACACATTCCCGGTTCTCCTCCTGATCCCCCCATGCCCACCCAGCACACCCTGCCACTGTGTCCCCTCTGTGTCTATTCACACACATGGACCTCTGAAACCCAAACTGGCTTTAATGACAATAAATTTTTTTTTTAAATACATCTCTGGCAAAGAGCAATGCAAAGGAGGGGTTAGGATTCAGGCACAGTCTAGCATTCCCCTAGAGCCTCCATACAGGCCCCTGAAATTGCACCTATTCTGATCGTACACTGCTTTCTAAAGACCTGGTCCAGCAGTTGTCCATTCCTTTGGGAGGTGAGGGGTTTAGGGGTGCTGACCCTCCCCAGATCCCATCCCTCAGTTCCTGCCACTTGTCCCACTTCCTAGGACTTGTTGGGATTGATGATCCTTCGACTCCCCTAATCCCTCTGAGACCCTGGTCTCACCCAGGAGCCTCCTGCGTCCTGCTTCCCTCTGGTTTTCACAGGTTTTGTTCATCCCCAGTGCCACCTCCCCATGGTCATCCTATCAGCTCTCCCAGCCTGGCCTTACTCTCATATGGAGTTCTCTGACTTGACTCCAGTCCTTTTGGTCCCTGCTCTGGAGAAGCCAGTCTCAGCTCCCTGAGGCCCCGTTCTTTTGGACCTGGCTATACAAAGCAGCATTTGAGCTGTGGCCTTTGCTGCCACTGCCAGTTTCAGTACCAGGTTCAAGGAAGACCAGGCCTTGGGGCTTGGGAGCTGGGAGAGGCTTTGTGCTCCGAGGCGGGGGCACAGCGTAGTCGTCAGTGGCTGGGTTGTAGGGGAGCTCATAGCCCTCCTCCTTCACCCGAGCCTGGCACCACCATGCATCCTTGGGCTCCTGAGGCAGGTCATAAAGGCCTCGGGGAGGGGCCGGGGCCAGGCCCTCAGGTTCATCATAGATGGGATCCTCTTTGGGGTCCTTCAGGTTGGCCTTCATCAACCGCTGCTGCGCATGTTCATACAAGTCCCAGTAGAGAGGTTTCTTCAACTGTGCCCCCTCCCCAGCTGGACGAGGTGTGCTATTCAAGGGGTCTGAATACAGGGAGTCCTGGGAAGGGCCTGGAGGGATGCGCAGGGAGTCTAGGGGTTCAGCATACAGCGATAGGGGGTTGCCCAGGTGCTCCTGGGGGCCACAAGGAGAAGCCACCTTCCCTTCTGCCACTTCTTCATGGGAGTCAGCTCTCCGAACATCATGCCCCTGACTGGCCTTTGCCTGGGCCTTCTGCTGGCAGATAGCAGTCTCAACTGCCTGAAAGATGTCATTTCCCTGTGCCGTCTGGAAGGTGAATGTTCCGGGGCCAGAGGGGCAGCGGCGGCCGGCCTCAAAAGAGAACATGACCTGAAGAGGGTGTGGAGGGATGCATCATCAGAGGAGGTGAGTCACAGGGCTGAACTAGGCAGGGAATCTGAAAAGATCACCTGGGGCAGGGGGTGGGGATCACAGGGTAGGCAAAGAAGAGGGATCCCAGAGAGCAAAGCTTCCCACCTTCCTGTCCTGTCCCACCCTACCCACAACTGCCCAACCCAGCAAGTCCTCTCTGACAGCCCTCCCTGACAGTCCCCTCCCCCCCACCTTGTCACGGCCATAACGACGTAACAGAGTGTAAGGCCAGGAAAGGAGAGGCTCCAGTTTCTGACTCTGGGTCCCCACGGCCGAAAGAGTCAGCCTCTCAGCCTCTACCCTCAGCACGTAGGAGCCTTGCAGGCCACAGCGCTCAGCAGCTTCAGTCCTCTGTACGGTTACCCAGAACTGGGATCCTGAAAGGAACACTCGATTAGACGCTTAAAGGAGCTACTAGAGGCTGGGGCAGAGGAGTGAGGGCCGGGAAGGAGTCAGAAGCAGAGTGTCCCGGCACTCACTTGGAACCCAGATCTCCTTCCCCAAGGGTCCATGAACCCTCTAATCACTCCCTTCCCAAGGGCGCCTCTCCTTCCCACACCACCCCATCCCTGCCCGGGCTTCTGGGCGCCTCTACCTTCCCCGATGGGGCTGTAAAGCGAGTTCTCCAGCATCTCCAAGGCAGAAAGTTTGGGTGGGTTTTCGGGAGGCGCCAGAGCCCAGCTACCTTTCTGTCGTAAAGAGAGAGCGTGTAGAGGACCCCATAATCCCCCCAGCGTGGCTCCCAGGGTCTGAGCCACCCGGATGCCTCTGTCGCTGCTCCCCGCGTCGCCCCAGCCACTCGCCCGCACTCCCAGGCCCCCTCACCGGAAAGGCATTTCGGCACAGCGTCTGTACCCAGGCGGCGCTGGACCGCGCGTCCGCGGCCAACAGGTGGGAGCGCTGCAGTGTGTCCAGACGGAAGGCTGCGGCGCCGGGCTCAGGGGGACTCTCCACCGCCACGGGGACCACGCTCACACACTCCGCCAGGCGGATCACCTTGCAGTCTAGGCGGCGCGAGCCCCCGCGGCCACCCCCTGAGCCCGACCCCTTGTGGTCAAAGAACTCGAGCCGGGCCACGCCATGGGGGCTGGCGGGGTAGAGCACAGCCCAGGTCTTCCTCCACCTCTAGGGAGAGAGCGAGACACTGGAGAGGGAGCGGGGCGAACGCGGGCTGGCCGGGCCCCTACGGGGTTGTGGAACAGGCTCAGGCTGATTTGGCGTCTGGGGCTTCCCGACCTGGGGCGAAGTCTCCCAAGGACGACGCCGCTCCGTCTCTCCAGGAACAAGGAGGGCGTACGCCGAGGTCGGCAGACGCTTGTCTGGAGTGTGCAGAGCAACTTCGCGAGACCATCACCGGGCTCTCCAGCTCCCGGCGCCGCGCTCCAACCCGCGCCCGCTCCCTCCTTCTTTCTGGCCCCTTCCGCCCACCCCAAGCTCTGAAGGGGTTCTGCAGCCCCTGCCCCCCACTACCTTGGTTCCGAAGCGCTGACTCTGTAAAAAGAGCGGCCCTTCCATCTCGGCCCCGTCCATGGCCCCCGGCGGTCCCTTTCGCGCTTCCTGGCCCTGCGGGCTGGAGGCGGGACGGGGCGGGACGGGGCGGGTCGGAGGCGGGCTGGACTCGCCGGAGGCGTTCCCGCCCCTTCCCAGGCCCCGCAGGCCGCGAAAAGGGGGAAGGGAGAGGAGCGAGAAAGAAGTGGGGGTCCCTAGATAAGCGGGGCGGCCGCACCACCTCCGGGCCCTTACCCGCGGCCGTGGGGCGCGCACAAGTGGCTCCACCAAGAGAAAACTTCGGGTTTCGGCCAGGGAGCCCTGGCGCCTGGGCGAGAGGGCTGCGTGTGACGTCAAACGCCCAGCGTGACATCAGAGTGAAGGCCGTGACATCACCCCGAAAGTGCCTGCCGGCACCCTGGGGCTCCAGAGAGGCCACGTGGGCCACCATGGCCTCAGTTCCCCCAGCCGGGACCGCCCCCAGCCCGGCTGGAGTTGGAGTGTTTACCCTCCGCCGAGCTGGGGGCGTGGAGGAAGGGCCGGGGGCTGGAAGGCTTCCCGGAACCCCGAGCCGAGTGGCCTCCCGCCGCCACAGGGGCAGCCGCCTGGGCCTGTAGGCGTCCCTGCGGTCTCTTGCGTGTCCAGCTCCCCGACCGGAGCTGTCCGGCTTCCAACCTGCGGGAAAAGAAAGCTTCATTGAGCGGGCTGGGAGGGCTTGGGGTGGGGGTGGGGGGCGGCTGCGGCCAGCTCCGCGGGGGAGGGGAGGACGGAGAGGCGAGAAGGAGGGAACTGGCGAGGGAGGAATCCAGGGAGAAGGCGGAATGTGGGAGGGCTCAAGGGGAGTAGGAGGGACGAACGAAGAGGGAGGAGGGGGGGTCCAGTCTCTCCTGTCCGAGCACTTTTTTTTTTTTTTTGGAAATCCTAGGATCTCCGGGACCAAGACTCTTCACCCAGCCCCTAGAGCCCCGCTCCGCCAAAGGTAGGGGGAGCCGGGCTAGCCTGCTGGAGGAACGGGGTTGGGGATGGAGAGGATGGTGGAGGGACCAGGGAAAAAGGATGGAGTCGAGGGGAAGCCAACCAGCTGAGGGTTTTATTATTGTCAAAAAGAAGTGAGACACTAGAAGAGTGAAGAAAGGAGGCAGATGGGGGGCGGCGGGTCGTACAGGGTGTTCCAGATAAGGCAGTTGGGAGGACCTTGAGGCTGGGGGTTTCTCACAGAGAAGCCCCCAAGCCAAAATATCCTCAGAACAAAGATGTTGGGTTGTTTATCTGGGTTGGGGGAAGCATGTACCAGTGGGCCCCTCACTGTGGAGGGGCTGTTGTCAGTCCCAGACCAAGAAAGGGCCTTGGCTTCTTATCAGATCAGAGCCCTGCCTCCGGCTCGGTGACGGCAAAGGCAGTGTTGGTGAAGGCAGTGTTGGCCGGAGGCTCCAACAACCCCACCCCATCCCCCTGCCCAGCTTGAGGCCTGGCCCTCCTAGGCCTCTCGACCCTGCCATGCATCTGAGAGCCTGCGGGCTGCGGAGGGTGTGCAGCGGGTGCTCCATGTGGTCTAGTGTCTGCCTTCCCTGCTTCGGCATCTGGGACTCTGGGCTGCACTCCCATTCAAGGGATCAGAGGTCTGAGGGTCTCCTGGGTGCTCCTTGCCTGCCTCAGCACAATCAGTGGAGCTACCTGTCCAGTCCCTCTGACTGACTGAATAGGGTCATCTGGGTCCCTCCCACATCTGCTCCCTGACTCCTGTCGGTCCCTCTCCCCCTCGCTTGTTGCCTGCATCTTTCTCTCTCACTCCCTAATTCTGTGTGCCTGGCACGGTCCCTGTCACCTTCTGTCTTCTCGGTGTCTGTCTCTCCTGAGGTCTCTTTCTGTTTGTCTCCCTTTCATTCCCACACTCTCCCTTCCTCTCACATCCTGTCTGTCTGGGTCTTCCTCTCTGTGTGTTTCTTGCTCAGTCTTCATCTCTATCTCTGTATCTCTTTATTTTGACCATTTTCTGACTCTTGGTCTCTAATTATTGTCTTTAGGTCTCTGGGTCTCAACCTGGGGAGTAGGGGTAATGGAGGTGATGATGGCAGAACTAGGGAAGGACATTGTGGGACATAACAACCAATTGTGAGGGTTTCAGTGTTTACAAAATGCGGGAGAGCATATGTCTCTCCTCCTTATCGTCCCCTCATTCTCTGTTCTCCTCTCCCAGGTCTGGGTCTGGCTCTGTCAGCCCTTGCCTCTTTTACTTTGTGTCTCTGCCCTTATTTAGTGTCTTTCTCTCTCACTGTCTCTTTGTCTCTGGCCTGTCTTGGTGTTTTTTTTCTTTCATGACATCTCGCTTGGACTCTGGGCCTCACTCAATCTCAGTTTTTCTCTCACACTCCTTCTCTCTGGGGCACCCAGGCCCTCCCTGCCATGCAACCTGTCAGTGTCTGGCAGCAGAGCGCGTGTGGGCTGCTGCTGTGCCTGCTGTGCAGTTCATGCCTGGGGTCTCCGTCCCCATCCACGGACCCTGGGAAGAGGGACGGAAGCCAGGTCCTGCGGTTCCGGCTGGCTGGCTTCCCCAGGAAGCCCTACGAGGGTCGCGTGGAGATACAGCGTGCTGGCGAATGGGGCACCATCTGTGATGACGACTTCACACTGCAGGCTGCCCATGTCCTCTGCCGGGAGCTGGGCTTCACAGAGGCCACAGGCTGGACCCACAGTGCCAAATATGGTGCTGGCACAGGTGAGCAATGCCCCAGGAAGAGCCTAGCTACCCTGACTACCTAAATGAGGCCAAGTGCAGGGAGAGGGAGCACCAGAATGGCACAACCACAGGGACAGAGGACACCAAGAACAGCCAATGTCAAGAAAACCCATGGGTGACCACCCAGCCAACACAGTCACTCCCCAGAGCTCTGTGACCTTAGGCTGATCAGTTGCTTTCTCTGTGCAAAAATGCCTAGATGATCTATAAGTTCCTCTCTTTTGCAAAAAGGTATTCTATAAAGCCATGCGCAAGGACAATTAAAGTACAGCTTGCTCCATGGGAGGCTAAGAGCAGGTAAATGATGTCTGGATATCCCAAAGCCAGAAGAGAACACAGATACGGCTGCTGACAAAATCCAGTTACAGGCCGGAGCTGAAACCCACAAAGTGGAGCTGAATAAGAACAAGTGTAATGCCTAGGACAAGTCTGACTGTGGGCGGTGGGGGATTAAGAGCAGTTCTGACTGAAGCCTGGAAGTGCTTGCACTGTGTGAGGCCACAGTAGGACTGATGGACAGAAGTTGGTGCAACCTGAAGCTGATCCCTCAGCCCCCATTGGCTAGACCACTTCTGGAATAAAGTGTCTACTCTTGCACATTTTTTAGAGACGCTAGAAAACAGAAATATTTTCAGAGGAGAGCTACTCAGACATCAAAGATTCAGAAGCCAAGTTATAAGGAGGCAGAGCTGGAGAAACCAGAGATATTTGATCTGGAAAGAAAAAGCCTTAGATAGTCATTACATGATGGTTGTCTTTAAATATAGTAAGGGCAGTCGTGTGACTGAAGGCTTTTTCTGGATGGCATCAAAGGACTGAATCAGACTGGATGAGGGAAAGTCATACAGAGTCACAAGGACTTTCTGATGGTTACAGTGAACCTGGTGGAGGTAGGTGTCCCAGTAGAAGCTGGGTAAGCCCTGTCTTGGAATGCATGATGCGTCCCTGCACCTTGGCTGGGACAGAAGACCTTTGAGGTTCCACCCACTTCTGAGAAGAAGTTAATGATATTCAGTACGGTTCAGGCAGGGAGAACAACGCGCAACAACATGGCAGCACAGGCAGGGCAGCCACGTGGGAAAAGGTGTGAGTGAGGCGAAAGGATCTTTGGTTTCCAAGCCTTACAGACTGGGCCTGAATGCTGTGTGGCGATGTGGTCTTATGCAGGTTACTTAACTTCTCTGAAGTCCAGTTTCTTTATATAAAACAGTGATAATATCTTCCTGGCAGCACTGTTCCAAGATGACCACATAGGTACAGAGCCTGGCAAAGTGCTTGGCACAATTGTAGCTATCATTGAATGGGTAAGAACGGATCAGAACATCAGTGTTGATTCCTGTGTTTTTATTCACCCTACTAAATTCTTGGGGGTCCCTCCATGAGTCCTATGACCCCTTCTATCCCCCTCCACAGACTCCTATTCCCTCCTCATTATTGTCCCAGAAAAATGAGCTTTTCATGGCCAGACGTGAAGCCCCAGTGCCCAACCCTCCCAACAGCCCCATTGTGCCCCATTCTTCCTCTCCAAGCCTCTATCTGTCGTTTCATCTCCCTCTCCACAGGCCGCATCTGGCTGGACAACCTGAGCTGCAGTGGGACTGAGAAGAGTGTGATCGAATGTGCCTCCCGGGGCTGGGGGAACAGTGACTGTACCCACGACGAGGATGCTGGGGTCATCTGCAAAGACCAGCGCCTCCCCGGCTTCTCAGACTCCAATGTCATTGAGGTCTGCAGTTCACACACACACACACACACACACACTCACACACACACACACACACCCCACCCAGGATGGCCAGACAGGGAGGGCTGTGGGGTGGCTATATGTGGTTAGAGGAGATACTAGAAGGTAAGAAATCCCATTTGCCCCAGGGGGTAATTTGGGTTGGTGGGGGGCTTTGAAGCGGGGGCTAAATGATAGAGGTTTTGGGCTCTGTAAGGTCCAAGTTTAGCATTAGCTTTCAAGTTACTGAATCTGTCATGAGCTTCTCCAGTGTTGTCCTTGGTCACTCTAGGGCATCCTGTGCTCTCCGTTGCCTCAGATGTTCCTGCTATCCTGGAACATCTCCCTTATTACCTTCTCCTTCTCCTTCAAAACCTCATTTAAATGCTACCTCCTCTGTGAAGTGCCCCTCGCCCCCAGACAGAGCTGGGGGATCTGCAATGGGGACCAGTGAGGTTCCCACTCCTTCCTCAGCTCCCTCAGCACCCTTCGTCATTTCTCATTAGCCCTCCCCTCTCACGGCTGTAGGAGAGTCAGCACACTCCAGGCTGTGGGTTTCCTGAGAGAGGGCAGTGCGGCTCTCACCCTTCTCAGCCCCGTCAAGCCGCTGGCTTGGCAGCAAACACTCAGAGTTCCCTAAGGGTGGCAGAACACATGAAAGGAGCTGGGGCGCTACTGGAATTCCCTTGCTGTGATCACATCCCAGGTAGACCATCACCTGCAAGTGGAGGAGGTGCGGCTTCGAGCAGCTGTGGGGCGGGGCAGGAGACCCCTGCCTGTGACTGAGGGCCTGGTGGAAGTTCGGCTTCCTGAGGGCTGGATGCAAGTGTGTGACAAAGGCTGGAGCGCCCACAACAGCCACGTGCTCTGCGGGATGCTAGGCTTCCCT